TCCATCTTCTCGCCTCTATTTTAGCTGATGTCGATAAAACTATCATGGTCATGGCCTCTTTTAACAACGTCATTGTTTGAATCTTTCTTACCCTTATTGTCGTTGGTAATAACATTGTAGGTGAGGGAAAACACAAAAATCTAGTGTCACCCTCTAAATTTTGATAAAAGTGTGAGAATATAGTGTGTTAATGCACCATTAAAATTTCATTGGTATTTTATAAATATAATAATACTAACGATAATATATATATTAAAATTTATTATTCATTTTTTTTAAGATAAGATATTTTTATTAATTGAAGAGAGAATAAAGTGACACGTGGCGAACATTTAATGTACGCGTGGTGGTTGATGTAAGGTATTCTAATGGATGATTGAGCGAATTATTTTTCAATAAAAGTATTGATTTATTTTCGACTATTGCATCATTTTTTAATTTACCTTTCAATCTCAACGAAAATGTATTGCTTAAAATTACCTAACTTCCGACTCTATTCATACCATGACTCTTCCACTAGAATTGCACCATTTATAAGTACGCTCTTATTTAATAACGAAAAGTCCATAAATTAATCTATAAATGTGTTAGTGTTTTAGAAATACTTACTTTTTTTTCATACACACTTCCTCTCATTAATATGTTGAAGCTTGATTTACTCAAAGAAGTAAAATTTGTTGAATCGTGTAGGACGTGCTGCTTACTGATTGCGTTTCTTGGATGTGGTGAGCTCAACACGAATCTGAACAGTGCGAGCATGAGTTGACGATGAAAACATCTACTGCAAGGTATCTCACGCCTACTTGGACGTAGTAGCGACAACTACATCGTGAAGAATCTCCTCAGACATGGAGAAGAGAAGACCGCTAAGGACCTGTTGATCCTGATCATACCACCGATCATAGGCCGGATTAGAAATCAGGTCAGCACTAATAGCGGTTGAGAAAGGGATCAGCTTGGCAGGTGTGGCAATGGTGCCATCGAGGTAGCCCAAAAGCTTTGTACTCCGAAGGTAGGGGAGGAGCTGGGCGCGCCATATGATGAACCTGTTTTTGGTGAGACGGATTGTAACGGAGAGTGATTGGGCCAAAGGTCGACGTCATGGTAGTTGAGACCGTGTTGGAGATGATGGATGAGGAAGATAGGATAGACATTGTTAATGAATAAACCTTGGCTCTGATAACATATTAGTTGAATAACACGGTCGCCTATATGGGTCACAACATGTATTTATAAATGTACTGGGCCTTGATCCAGGTTGATTCTCTAATCCACGGTAACAAACCAGTGAATCTAGATTCTTTTGATTCATGAAAACAAACCAGAACCAAAAAATCATATATTATCTTGATCCAGGAAACAAACCAGTAAATCTAGATTCTCATGATCCATGGTAACAAACAAGTAAATTATTTTACTATATAGATATGATCGTTTAACAATAAGAATGTGTCTTACCTATTTTGAGATACAATTATTGGATAAGCTCAGTCACTAAATAGAGTAATCTATAAATATAATGATCAATTGTTTTTCTTCTTTGTAAGTAAATTAGAACCTTAATACGGCCGAGTATCTTGACATATATTTTTTCCGCACTTAGTATTTTGAAATAATGTTTTTCTATGGCTAACTTTAAGTGAATTATCAAGTTTATCAAACTATTTAAAAAGCTAATCAATCGAGTATCGAGTATGCCCTAATATACATGTTTGACTAGCTTTAGTGTAAGTGGTAGATTGTTGGATTTATGTAATACAAATTCATTATTATTCATTTTTTAATAATTAATAACAATTTTGATTATTTTATTTGTAATATAATATTATCTATTATATTAAAACTCAAGATTACGTATGTCGTTTATATTATTATTAATTTTATATATTATTTATTCTCCCACCATTCTTAAAAATAAATTTAACTATGAAATTGCCGCAAATTTTAATTAAATATTTAAAATAAAAAATAAATATTTTCTAAACTAATATTTGTTTTTTATTAAAAATAAAAATTTGAATATCCGAATTTCAATCTAAAAAATTTATAATTTGGATAATCGATTGAATATTAAAAAAAAGTGATTCAACTAAATTCAACTCGGTCCAAACTTGGGCGGTCATAACTGAAATTATTTATAGAATGGGACATTTATGAGACCGTCTTCTCTGGTTATTTGTGTATATAAGTTCCTATGAATCTAATGAATAAGATTGGTCGGGTTGTTTCGTTACAGTTATGGTGAGTTGATTTGCACTTCTTACAGTTTCCTGATTATGAAAATTGCACCAATTTCTCCTTCTTCTCTCCAGAATTTAGTGCTTTCTGATCTTCCTAAACTCAAACCATTCAAATGTTTCTTCTCCGCCGCAAACTACGGCACTGGTTCGCCTCCTTGTTCCTTGACAGAGTCGGATTCGGCGGAAGGCCGAGACTGGAACGCCGCCGCTGCCGCCGTCCCTTTTACCGGTGTCCTCCAAGACGAAGACCTTCTTCGCAAGACCCACATTTCTTCTTCTGAAACTTCCACTAGTTCCACTGGGCTCTATGTTCTGGACCTTATAAATCATGGTAAATTGGAACCCGAACGAACGCTTTATAGTAAAATGCTGAACAAATGTACCCATTTGCGCAAGCTCAAGCTGGGCAGAGTCATCCACTCCCACATCCAGGGCTCTACGTTTGAGAATGATCTGGTAATTCAGAATTCTATCTTAAATATGTACGCCAAATGTGGTAGTCTTGAGGAGGCACACAACCTGTTTGATAAAATGCCTACAAGAGACATGGTTAGTTGGACCGTGTTGATTAGTGGCTATTCTCAGAGTGGGCGAGCGTTTGAAGCTCTTGGTTTGTTCCCTCAGATGTTCCACCAGGGCTTCCAACCCAATGAGTTCACTTTGTCTAGCTTGTTGAAGGCTTCTGGAGCTAGCCCTAGTGATGAGCATGGCAGGCAACTTCATGCATTTTCTCTCAAATATGGCTTTAATATGAATGTTCATGTGGGAAGTTCATTGCTCGATATGTATGCTAGGTGGGGGCATATGCAAGAAGCCGAAGCGATTTTTAACGGGCTGGCTGCGAAAAATGTGGTGTCTTGGAATGCTCTGATTGCTGGTCATGCTCGGAAGGGTGAAGGGGAGCATGTGATGAAACTGTTTAGGCAGATGCTTAGGCAGAATTTCGAACCTACGCATTTTACATATTCTAGTGTTTTTACTGCTTGTGCTAGCTCTGGATCTTTCGAGCAAGGCAAATGGGTTCATGCCCATGTTATAAAATCTGGGGGACAACCGGTTGCCTATATTGGAAACACTCTCATTGACATGTATGCCAAATCAGGCAGCATCAAGGATGCAAAGAAGGTCTTCCAGAGGTTGGTTAAACAGGACGTCGTTTCGTGGAACTCGATTATATCTGGATATGCACAACATGGATTGGGAGCTGAAGCTTTACAGCTATTTGAGGAGATGCTAAAGGCCAAAGTTCAACCTAATGAAATTACTTTCCTCTCTGTTCTTACTGCTTGTAGCCATTCAGGGCTTCTAGATGAAGGGCAATATTATTTCGAACTAATGAAGAAATACGAGATCGAACCACAGGTTTCACACCATGTGACAGTCGTTGATCTATTAGGTCGAGCAGGTCGACTTGATGAAGCCAACAAGTTCATAAAGGAAATGCCTATCGAACCTACCGCAGCTGTCTGGGGAGCCTTGCTTGGTGCTTGCAGGATGCATAAGAACATGGATTTGGGTGCTTATGCTGCCGAACGGATTTTCGAGCTTGACCCTCATGACTCAGGTCCTCATGTACTATTGTCTAATATTTATGCTTCTGCTGGTAGATTGAATGATGCAGCTAATGTAAGAAAGATGATGAAAGAGAGTGGAGTTAAGAAAGAACCTGCCTGCAGTTGGGTTGAAATTGAGAACGGAGTTCATATGTTCGTGGCAAATGATGAATCACATCCAATGAGAGAAGAAATCCAGAAGATGTGGGAGAAAATAAGTGGAAAGATTAAAGAGATTGGGTATGTACCAGACACAAGCCATGTGCTTTTCTTCATGGACCAGCAGGACAGAGAAGTAAAGCTGCAATATCATAGTGAGAAGCTAGCATTAGCATTTTCAGTATTGAAAACTCCTCCTGGATTCACCATTAGGATCAAGAAGAACATTAGAATCTGTGGTGACTGCCATTCAGCATTCAAGTTTGCTTCGAAAGTCTTGGGAAGAGAAATCATTGTAAGAGATACCAATAGATTTCATCACTTCCTTGATGGCTTGTGTTCTTGCAGGGACTATTGGTAGCTATTAGCAGTGTACAAGTTCTTCATTACTAAGATCTGTCAATTTCTACCCTCAATAAGTGTTCTAATAAAAGATTCGAGATGTTCAGATATACCTTTCGAAGGCTCGAGTTCAAACTTACCAAGAAGCCCAAGACCCAAAGGTTGGTTATAGAATTTTTGAACTCATATTCTTATGATTTTCTCATGGTAGATGCTACGAGAATACAGTAGAACAAAGATTAGATAAACAAAAAATATCAACAAACGATTGGTGATGATAAATTAAGATGCCTTTAACCACTGTATGGGGGAATTTATACAGCCTGGTTCATTTTATAGCTTCTGATTGGACCTTTTAGCCATTAGGTGAAGGATTTTGAATCTCTAGTTTGTTTTGAGTTTGGATGATGCCTTGTATCTGTTCCCCTATGAAGAAGAAATGGAAGTTTATTCATATTCTGGTCCCTTATTGTACTGTTTTTAGATTACCAGTGATTGAGCCACTGAGATTATTAAGAAAATCCAATCCTTGATATGAAAAAGAACGTCTTTTCGGGATGTTTTGACTTATAGTTTGAACTTGGATGGTTTAAGATAACGAAGTCAATATGTGAGTTGACTTATATTATGAGTTTGTTCATCTTTCTGCTGGGTATCTTAGATGTTCAGGTACCAATTATATACTAAACAATCAAAGAGGACGCAATTTTGCCACAAATGACATGCATTGATACGAGTTTACCTTTACAATCAAATATGATCAAGACATAATTAACAAAAACACAACACGTCTAATGATTACACAAATACTTCTTCTGGATAACTGGGAGTTAGAACTTCGTTCCTCTATACCCAAGGGCACCGATGCCCGCCCAAGGCCAGAATCCGGGCGACATCAAGGGTTTTTGGTATTAAGCTCACCCGAAGGCTTGAGTTTTGGATCATTAAGCTGGTATAACCAGAGACCCCAAGCCCCTGCCAACGGAGCCACCCCTTGGGGCCATTATACAAACACCTGATAACCTATTATGGTGCCCTTTTTTGAGGGGGAGGGGGCGTTTTCTGACACTCATAATTAACAAAGGAATTTAAAGAGAACGTGGAAATTTGTACTAGTTTTTTGAGCAGCAAGATTTAACCGCAACAACCCCCAGATTGAGCTGTAGTACCATCTCTGCTTCCTGATGGCCCTGGGATTCCACCATATCCAACCTTTATCCCATATGACTGCACATAAGATGGAACATAGCATCACTAATATCATTCATTCTCATCGCTATTCATCCGTTGTAAAAACAAAATTCTAAGAGACTAGAGACTCGAATCTAAATTCTGTCACTTATGGCAGTCGCTAAACGCCACTGGCCAAACACTGTTCAATTCAAGCAGCTAAATAACTTTTGACTAACGGTGAAACACCACTTCAAGTAGCACAGTCAAAAGTAAATTCAAGACCCCCTAAGCTCAAAACAACCTATGAAATCAGATGCACTTTGATCACCATGATGGAAGAGAAAATGCAATGGTAAAACTAAAACATTTCCGTACACATTTAGCAGCAAGTTAAAAGGCAAGCTTCATACCTCATTAGATACATCAAATACTCCATCCTGGATCTTCTTATATATTGTTGCAGCAGTTTGTATGAATGCCTGTAAAAATTATTGATCATCACGAAAATTGTGAGACGGAGAACTGTTTACAACATATCAAAAAGATGAATATTGTATCTTTATGTAATTCTTAGCTTATAGATGAACAGCGTCTAATTTTGAACTTTTTGGAAGGCAATTTATGACTATTCTATTACCTCCTCAACATTTTGAGCAGTTTTAGCAGAGGCCTCCATAAAAATTAGACCATGTTCCTTTGCAAACTGCTCCCCTTCCTCAGTGCTGACAGCCCTTCTGTGTGCAAGATCACACTTGTTTCCAATAAGCATTATTGTCATGTTTGCATTAGCATGTTGTCTTGCATCTTCAAGCCAGCTAGCCAGGTGATTAAAAGTCTCCCTCCTGAAAAATATGATAGCCAACATAACCTTAAGTTCGATGTCCTCATTGACTCAGGAAATTTAGGGGCATGATGATGAGGCCCCATTTCAGCTTATGCAGGCAATCAAGTTAAACTAGAAGGCAGAATCACGTGGAACAGTTTAGAGCTGCTGTCAGGCCTGGCTGACCGCATTATTTTAACAACTACGGTCTTGCTCAAGTTATTCCCTTCGCACAAACCTACAACTATGCAAGACAAAAATAAACCACAACTAATCCAAGAAAATTCGAGCATTCACATTTAAACTTTATGCTGTTCGCCCAAAATTCTACTAGATTACATCCACAACCTTCTAACACAATGGTCAGTCCCACTAACCAATAAATCTTTCTGGCCAAGTCTTGTTTACTTTCATGAAGTACGAGGTTTCTTGGTGACTCAGGGATCAATAGGCCTGAAACTATCTATTAACTCTTTTGGCAATGGCAGGGGAGTTTCAAGCGCTCCCCTCCTCTCCACTATGACCGAAGGATATACAATTGAGAAAAATGCAAAAGGATAGCCTCCTCTTTGCCATAAGCAACCTTCAACATACTCAAAAAGTATACTAACCATAATATATGGCCACATAATCATAACACACGCCTGCCAATCCTCAAGTACCTACATCACTCAGTCCCCCTTCTTCCCTTTTTCTACATGGCTATACTTCTGGGTGACTCGCTGTCTGTCTATCATGGATTTTACAAATTCTCATGCCAACATGAATTGTCATTCAACTTCAATATGACTGGTTTAATTGATTGAATGATAGGTCCCCAGGAAAAGAACAATAATGAATTGCAAAAGGAATAGGAGTATCCTCTCCAAGTTTCTGAAATATCTTTCAAACAATAGTTCCACATACAATAGACCCATTTGGGGGATGAATTTCAAAAGCCTCCCTTACTTATTCACTAGAAAATTGGTGTAGCAGAGGGGAATGAATTTCATACAACCAAAACAATGAATATTTAGACTAATAAAGCAGCAAATTGAAGCCCAACTAACCAGCTAACTCCAGTGGCTAAAACTTAACAACTTGGACCAGCTAGGTTAAACATAGCAACTATCGCAACCCAACAGCTACACAAGGCAACAACTCCGATACCAAAAGACTTAGAAATCTTCTAACAGCTATTGTACCAATCTTGGTATAGGTTCGTAGCCTCAGGGAATTGAACTTTATTTAATCAGGAATGAATTGCATACAACCTAAACAATGAATATTTATACTTATAAAGATCTAACTGAAGCAAACCAACTGACTAGCTCCAACTCCTAAACGTAATGACCTTAATCAGCTTGGTTAAACACACTATCGGTCACAACCCAGCGGCTGCATAAGACATCAAACACAAATAACAGAAGTACAGAAACATCCCTACATCAAAACTCAAAAGTAGTATTAAGTTAGAAGGGAACCAAGAGGTAAAAAGACCTGGTGATATCGTAAACAAGCAAGGCACCAGCAGCCCCTCTATAGTAGGACCTTGTAATAGACCTGAAAGATTCTTGACCAGCCTGCAATTTTTTTGGGAAACTTCAGACTCAGAAAAACTCGATGAAATTAATAAGAAACAAAAGGACAAATCTAAATCGAAAGAGTCAAGGAACGAACATTTGTACCATACTTATGTTATATATGTATAATAGAAATGAACAATACATGACGTTGATTCAATAATGATCATCATTATTACACACAGAGCAGATAGTAATTTTGAATAACTATCATTAAGCAATAGAATAAGTGTACTATGTTATGTGTATGCGCTCTAAGTTTAAGCAGAGCACTTGAGCTAAGAGCATATGTAAGTGTTGTATAACTTATAGATAACTTTTCAGATTCAAAGCCATGTTACAATGGTAAACTAAATAGTATAGATTATATATAGTAAGCATGAATGGAGGCTTCCCGGTTCTATTAGTTATTGTTTTCGCCTTTTACTCGAACTAAGATTAAGCTTATAGCAGTAGATCACCCGCTTGTCTCTAGTATAATTACAGATTATTTTCCTTGAAATGGATCCAAGAAAAGGTAAAATACTATCCATAAACCAGAACAGAGCTCATTCAATTCAGTAGCCAAGTGGCACAGTTAAATATCTAAAGATTTGAAACAAGAAACTCCCAAAAAAAGAAAGAAAGAAAGAAAGAGAGATAACTAACCGTATCCCAAATTTGCAACTTGATTGGTTTGCTGTGGATGGTGATCATCCTCGCCCCAAACTCTACACCAATAGTCAAGTCATGAACAGGCTGAAATCTCTTATCGGTAAACTGGAGAAGAAGACATGATTTTCCAACTCCTGGAGAATACAGCACAATTAAGCTTCAAACCTCACAATCAATCGACGAACAGAAAACAACATCCAATTCAAAGCTGAACACAGTAAGTCCGAAATCAAAAAGGAAACCAAGCAGAGCAGCGTTCATATCATCAAATTAGACAAACAGATTAAGCACAAACCAACCCATAACCAAAGCGACACAATTCAGGAGTCAGATCGAAAACGAAAAAGCATCAACACCAACGCGTACCAGTATCACCAATGATGATGTACTTGAAAAGGTAGGCGTATGACATTCCGGTTGGAAATGAAGAAGAAAACGAGATCGGCGGCGAGAGAAAATTGAAGAAATAGCGGGTACAGAAGAGAATTAACCGGAGGCGGAGGATGGGCGGTAGGAGAAAAGGGAGGATGTCTGAGTTTGAGCTGCCAATTGCTATTAATATACAAACTTTGTTCACCACTTACATCTTCGGACCCTTCTACACTCATCTCTCTGCTTCTCCAACGGATCTCTTTCATTTCATTTACATTTACATTTACATTTACAACAGTTTAATTAAATTAAATGTGGACCAATCAAATTTATAAATAGAGTCGAAGTTCAAATATCTCGATTTTAAATCCATTATATTTTTTTTTAAGTTATTAATTTATTAAATGCCTATATTAATTTTTTTTTTTTTTGTTAGATTATATGCGATGGATTAGAACTCAAGTGGATTTTATTTATGATCAGATCAGTGGGCTACCATAGTTGACTTTTTTCGTGGTGTTGTTGAAAGAGAATTTGGAAGTAGGCCTCGTTTTTTGGAGCTGCTCCCAGCTCACACTATGGTGGAGGAGGTGCCGTGAAGATCTAGGAGTGTGAGTAGTACGAGCTGAAAGGCTCCCATTTTCGTCACCTAGTTTGTGTTTAAAGAACGTTTGTGTTTAAGAGAGCGAAAACTCAAGGACACAAGTCTATCTGATTTTATAGTCACTAGTTTCCTCCCTCCATCTTTGTCCACCAATATTTTGGGTACCATCTATAAATAAGAATGAATAACACAAATGAGTATATAAATATACAGAGTAAGTAGCTTGATTATAAACTTATAATTAAGCAATCTTCTCGTACTTACCTGATAAGGCCAACTATAGGTCATCAATGATGGCAACCTAGATTCTTGATTTTCGTATATATTATGGGTAAGACTAGTCTAGCTAATTGAACTAGGCTGAACTTAAGAGATTATTAGGCCTCTTTTGGATATTCTGATATCATTGACTTTTGTTCTCTAATCACCTTTCATTAAGTTCTTTGGATAACTTGGATCCCTTGTTATCATAATTAGCCTTATTAACCTCTTAATCCACTCTAACATGTTTATCCCTTTCTTAGAACTCAACTGACGACCCTCTCTCGAGCTTATCAATCATATCATATAAATTAATTATGAGGGTTCGTTTGCTAATTACCATGTAGAGTTATCTCATCAATGCTTACCTATACCCTCAATAGTAGCATCATCATACCATTTCGTGGCCTATAAACGGGGTCATATTATTTGGATTAACTACATTACCCTTCCTTATTCTTGGGTTACCAAGATTTTCTCCGAGCTTGGTACATATCAAAATATTCTCTTATGTCGAGTATACTCATCTTGAGTTCTTGAATCTATAAACTCTTTACTTAACTCTTATCATTTGGTTCTTCTCGGTTTACCATTGTATGGTTGTCAACTCTTTAGAGCTCGACTTTCTATGTATAGAAGTCCTAGGGTGTTATGTTTAACCCTTTTTACTGCGTTTCGTATGTATGGCTTGTTATCTATCATTTATGTTATAGTATTCACTCTAGGTTCGTATGTATGACTTGCTATCTATCATATACGGCTTGTCTACTGAACTCTCTAGCAGCTTGAAATAGTGAAAAACACAACGGTTAGGCATACTCATGGCCCTAACTTGGCACTCAACAAGTCAATCAGGTGGTTTCGTGTGGCCTAGTAGACTAAGTGGTTAGGCTCTGAAGTGGCTTATCAGACGATCAACGTATAATGTTCTTATGTGGACCCCAATTTCTCAGTAAGAGTCTCTAAATTATACAACTTTCATTTAGGAGAAACTCTTAAATCAATGCCAGATAGTAATTCATATGTGGACGCCTATGAGTCAAGTTTATGAATAAGGATTAGTGAGTAGAATTCCTAATTTTCCCCACATAAATCATGTGCCACACAACAATCAACATAACTTAAGAGGAGAATAGTATCCTAACTAATCAAAGAACCCCAACAATGCAGCTTGAGTGAGACCTATCAACAACCCATAACATTTCATTAGTTAGTACACGGTATGGAAGGATCGATTTAAACACGTGAAAAACCATCGTCGGTGAAGGGTAATTCGTGAAGAAGTAATAAACGTTAGAAACCAACGTTTACCAGATGTTTAAGTTACTATGACGTCGTGAGTGTGAGGAGGGAATAATCAAGGGTGCAGGACAACCAGATCTTGAAATAAACGACGATGAAAACATTGTTGGAGACGTTTGGGAGGAGAGAGAAAAACTCTCATAAAGCCACGAGAGATTTAGGCGGGGAATACAACGTATGAAACGATATGACTATGATGTATTTACAAAATGATAAGCTTGATACGACGTGACTATGAGATGATACATGAATGTTATGACACTAGTTATGATGTGATGCATTGATGATATGATAAATGTTATGGTATAACACATTTGGCGATATGATACATGATGTTACATGATATGTTGATGATATAATATATGTATCATATGACATGATGCATGATATGAATGATATACGACAAGATGTGTCGATATAATGCACAACCTCAATTCATGTATGGAAAGCTACGATGAAAATGATATGATATGGAGGAAAATGGAAATGGTTGTTTTGCATGATAATGAAAGAAAAATGTTGGGGCCTCATGCATTATTGTGCGTTCATGCATTGGGAAATACCGCTATTTGATGATAATACGGACGCGTATGCTATAAGGCAGTAAAACGACCATTATTTTTATCATAATGTTGCGACGGTTATTATACCCCTAACGGGTGTCCGACATCAACAACTCAAGAGAATGCTCGTTCAACCATGAAAGGGGCCCAGCAAATGTGCGAACCGATTGGTGGGTTCATACTTGCACGTGTGGACCATGTGTAGAATAACATATAAACATCCAACTACCCATTTAGGATAGTCGCACAAGGAAATATAGACTGATATAATAGGTCTCCCTCGTGATTGTATGTGCTTACATCTAACCTCAATAGTGAGGTCACTTAGTAAGTATTTATTAAAATAATGAAGCCACGTGCTATTTCTATTTTAGGTAAAGGCAAGACACTCTTGTACGACTGACAACGAGGTTGCAATTCAAGACCATGACACATGCATAAGATAGTTGTATTTATTTTCTTAAACATAGGTTAGAATAAGGTTCGAACACGTAAATCCATGAGAGTATTTTAAAATTTATGTTTTATGATGAACGTTAAATATTCTTAGATGAAGTGAGTGAATAATAGGAGAAATTGATACATTTCCTTAAAAATGAATTTAAAAAAATGACTTAAGAACAAAAAGAGTTACCTTTGATGTGATCGGTTAGGACCATTATCGAGAAATCCGAGTTTGCATGCTTAACTAGCAGATGGAGGAAGATATATGATGTGCTTGGAAGGAACGTTTCAATTGACATTGAATTTGGTTTTATCAATTAACTTGTTCATGCCATAGTCGACAAACCCTTCAACAAATCTGACGTTGTCTTCTCCTTAATGATTTTGAACGTCACGTTTCTGGACTGCGTCAATTGGACAAACCTAAAGGCCGGACGATCCTTGAGCTTCCATTGCTCCGTGGTCATGGTATTCGGCTTCACTTCTAACAAGGGTTCGTGAAGATCTTTCTAGAATAAATAATCTTCAATCTACATCTTTTAAAAATTGAAATTGGATCCATCGAACTTCTCAATTCCAATCTTTGAACTTTCCATCTTCACAGATCGTGGTGAGTCTCGTCTCGCTCTGATACCAATTGTTAGAATAGCACAACAACGTACACACTCGATCAAGATGAATACAAAGAACAAGAGAGAGAGAAAATTCAAGGAAGAATATTGGCTAAAGATTTTATTGTTGACTTCTGTACACCAAGAGATAACACAGACAATGAAGAAGAGTACATATTGAGAGCACCTCCTAATGGGATATATATAGTTTCCGTTTGTAACCGATTTAGCCACCTATGAAATATAATCTACCAAATATATCTCTACCAAATCCTTACAAAAAATCTAAAATCTCTTCTAGATCTTTTACTAGCATCAAGCTCCATATCCTAACATGTATAAGCTGTGAGACAATATGACTGGATCTGTATCGAACATAATTCATGAAGGTTAGTTGAAAAACTCTCATACGGGACCATAAAGTCATGGGAGAAGTGATCCCCCTTGTGCTGATCTGCTACTAGGTCAACCTACGTGGTCTCACGCTTCCTCGCTTTAGGATGAGTTTACAATACAAGACTCCTATTCAAGAGACCCCCTAAGCATTTCTATTAGGTTGGGGCACATGTCGCACTACCCTAATCATCGACGCATAGCTCCATGGTTCAAGAACTGGAGTAGAGTCTCAAATGTACGGTGCCAGAGTGGAAAAGGTAGTGGACATACTGGTGACACTATTCACACTACTATAGCCTGATGAGTTACCTTGGTCGTTCTCGGTTTCCATGAAGGCCTATGAGGTTCTTAACGATTTCTGGGCAGTTTAAATATCATCTTTTGTTTCCAGGACGTTTGGGGTTAGCTCCTCAGGCCAAACTAATATCTAGGTGCATACAAGTCTAAACCTCTAATTACTCACAATCTTAGGGTGCAAGGTCCATGGATACATACCGACCTAGGTCAACATGCATGTAAACCACACTATTTGTAGCGCTCTAATCTCAACTAAGTTCTCTCATGCATGATTTGCTAGGGAGATATTCTTATCGTTCACCTAAGCACATAATCTATGATTTAAACTTCACATTACTCATATTTGAGAACTGAATAGGTCATTAGATTTCTAGGACATTTAGATTGCTTAACGTAGACTTCTAGCTCTAGACTACTTTGTTCTAACTCCTCGAGTCTTTCTCCTCTGACCGTCGCTCGAGATTCTAAGGTGCTTAGTCTACTGGAGGGACGTCTAGCCAACCTAACTCTAACGCACTAGCTCTGTGCAAATAAACAGTCTATACAGGGAGAACACACAATCAAACATCTGAAGCTAACACATATTATATGCACACATACAAGCAAACAAGCTCAAAGGGGAGATAATATTCATTTGTAATTGTAAACGATATTTGTAAAGTTTAAATTTTATAGTGATATTTCATTCTTCTTATTTTTTTTTCATCTTGCAAGTCACATCTGATCTTTCGACGCCTCGCCATTTATTCGTATTTCTCACGTTTCTCTAGACAAAAT